AAGCCCTTATCAGCGCCTAGAAGTCAGGGCTGAGATGCTGGATCTCACTTGCCTTCCCCATAGAGCCATACTGATTCACATTTGTTTTCCTGCTTTTCATCATTACCCTTTCTGTTTGGTGTTTATAGTGACTGAACCTGGTTTGTTGGAACCCCGGTTTGCCGTCAGGTCTCTGGATGAGGAGTCTAGTAACAATATGTTGAATTTAAGGCTACTATCATTTTTAAAAGATGAGAATTTTATTTTTGTTTCTTTTTTCAGGTCTGGAAATTGCTAAATAGCATGGAGTATGATTTACCATTGAGCTTCAAAGATTTTAATGGGGAAAGGTCATCATGACATATAGCTATTATGTCCTTACTTGTAAAAGCATGGCAGATACAAATAGCAGTAATCAGTTTTATCTGCAAATCACTTTACAACTTTCAAAGTACTTTTATATTCATTATCTGAATTTAATCTTCTAAGTAAGTAATCCTATAAGGTATTAAAAGACCATTAGTTTCTTTTCAGGAAGAAATTAAGTGCTTTCTTACTAAGCTTAATGAACTAAACAGTAAGACAAACAGATCTTCAAATTAAACTTTTTAATCCTATCATGATGCCCCGTGTCACTTAAACTATGAAAGGTCAAATGACTCATTTATAGCCATAAGAAGAATCTACAGTATTTCTAGGATCTGGAAAATACTTACAATATGCATTTAATAAATATTTAGTTTTCCTCAACCTGAAATAGACAAATTATGCAAAAATAAAATCACAAAATGACTTATGAACACTTTTTAAAAAGGTCACAGTACCACACTTCTCCCATCCTTAAGCCTTCCAAAATCTGCTCATATAACAATAAATTCTGGTTTGTCAATAATTTATTTCACAAATCTGTTATGATACAGAAACACAAAGTCAATGAAATTAAGATATTTTCTACAAAGTCACTGTGTAAAATTTTCAAATAAACCTAAAAAGCTGAGTAAACTCTTTCCAAAATCATTCTACCATCTGGAAGCCTGTGTCACTTGAATTTTCAATTTCAAAGAGATAGACAATGCATTTGTGGTATGAAAATTCAAGTTTTCCCAATTTTTGAAATAATGAGATACATTATTCAAGTACAAATGAAAAGTCATTATAAAAGACTTAAAAAAGAATTTATCAAGCAATAAGGCTTAAAGTAAACCTTTTCCAAAACTCTTACCCATATAGAATTCTGGGTAAGAGTCAACAGGATCATGAAAAATTCAAATAGTCATGGAAGCTAGAGAGAAATTACAGGAAAAAAAGGTGGGGAGAGAGGAGGATATCAGGAAAACAAAAAGTAGAACAGTGGAGTAGATCCAGGGGAAGGGAGGAGGAATGAGTAAAGGGAGCAAATGCAGAACAAAATTGATCAACTTATCCTATATTGCATCTATGAGTACATCATAATGAATTTCATTTTTATGTATTAACTATAATGGACCAATGTAAAAAATAATAAATAGATGGAAGACCAGTAGAGTAGAGGAAGGGAATCAAGGGGGAAGGAGGAGAGGGAAAGGGAGGTTCTGTGGACTGAATGAGAATGCGCAAGCCATGTTACATGCATTTATGATTATGTCAAAATGAACCCCACTATTGGGCTGGGACTGTGGCTCAGCAGTAGAGCGCTAGCCTGGCATGCGCAAGGGACTGGGTTCGATCCTCAGCACCACATAAAAATAAATAAAATAAAGGTATTGTGTCCATCTACAACTCAATAAATAAATAAATAAATAAAATTAACCCCACTATAAAAAATAAAAGAATAAATTTAAAAATTCAATTATCCATTCTGGTATAAGATAATGTTCTTACTAAAGTGGAGCACTAGTTCACTTATAATTGCTTTTTATGTCTATAAGGAAAAAACATATCTTCATTGAAATCACTGCATTAAAACATATAACTCATTTACAAATAAAACAGTATAATCTTATTTTAAAATTTACTATGAAATAATTTCCAATACAATCTCTAACAGTATTCCTCTGATATAATCTCTAAATAAGTCCTCTGATACTAGTCTTATACCATATTAAGTTAAATGAGCTATTCAAAGTATTTGAGTCTAAAAATATACTGTTTTCTCATTCTGAACTAGTTGGTTTGGTATTTAAACTAAATGTTATTAAATGCTGCATTGATAAACTACCAATGTATCATGCAGAAAGTAATCGCACCACTGAAGACTGGAACTATGAACCTATTGTCCCCCCTCACCCAATACATGCACATAAACAAAACAAAAACCAAAATGAACAAATGGCAGTACAGAAAATTAATGTGAGAATAAAAGAGCTGATACCTGGAAGAAATCTTAGGTTTCCCTGAAGACAAGATAAACTGGAAAGAAAACTGCTATTAAAAAAGCATCAGGTGGGGGAGGACACTTTTTATTTTTCTTAAAAATTACTGATCTACTTTGCTTCCACTTTTGTTGGACTCAGATATTAACAGATATTCTAATGGTTAAAAACACTGTCTAATAAAATCCAAATTTGGAACTAGGAAAACAATGAAAATATCTACTTTAAAAAGATCTTATTAAAAGAACTGTCTTTGCAATCATTTAAAAAAAACAAACAAACAAAAAAACAGATTGGCCAGGCCTACTGGCACATGCCTGTAATCCCTGCAACTTGGAAGCTGAGGCAGGAAGATAGCAGGTTCAAAGTCAGCCTCAACAACTTAGAGAAGCCTTAAGCAACTTAGTGAGACCCTCTCTCTAAATAAAATATATAAAGGGCTAGAGATGTGGCTCAGTGGTTAACCACCCTTGGTTCAGCCCCCAGTACCAAAACAAGCAAACAAACAAAACCACATTGGTTAGCCATTACCAAAAAATTTAAATAGGTATTATTTTCTTTTTACAAAATGAACCCCTATCAGAGCAAAAACTTAAAAAGGCCCAGCTCCTTTGATCTTAAGAAAGTAAAATCCATTGATTTAACATCAATTTTCTATGTCTTTAAGATTCCCATATTTACTGAACAAAAAATTCATAAGCAAACTGCAAATCTGAATAGGTTACACTCTCTAGCAGATATGAAAAAAGGTAATTTTTTTTACATCTGTACCATTTTAACAAATATGAAATATGTATGATAAAAACTATTTTTCAGAATCCAGCAGTAAAGGTTTTCCACTTGAAACAGCAATTCAACAAAGTCATTTCTAACCTAACTTGCAATTTCAGTATGAGTTCTAAATTCTGAAACAGCTTAGAATCGAATCTGCTAACACTAAATATAAAGAGCCAGTAAGCTTTTGAGAAGAACTGAAAATCTGATGCTTGAATGTTTATATAATAGTCACTTAAAATAAAAAAGTTTAAAGAGAAGACATTTGAGGTTAAAATCAAACTGATTTTAACTGAACCTAAAATCAAACAAATGTTGGTTTTTATTTTAAAAGGGCAAGAGATTTCTAACATCAGGATGGAAAACTAAAACATATCTGCCTGTTCTATAAATATCCATGTCCTTTCTTGGATTCAGAAATCCACTTTAGACCACGTCCCTTGGGTTTCTTCTATCTTCCATCTCCCTGAACACCATTGCTGCATTAAGATACCAACATTTAGCCAAAGGCAGAGATCAAATAAGTCATCTGAAGATTTCTAAAAACTAAAACAGGCAGAAAAGTGGAGGAAATATTTTATGCCTAGAGCTGCCAGAAATCCTTCTCTCCTTTTAGAAAAGTAAACTTCTTGCTTTAAAGATAATCATTTTTAAGAACAAAACATGATACTATACACAAACACATACCATTCTGATAATAATTCTAGAAAATGATAATAAAATCCTACAGATTTTGCCAGTGTGTTGGAAAAACAAAAATGAAAAAAAGACTTAAAGAAAAAACTGTATGCCAAAAGATTTTTTTCTCCAGTAAAAAAAAAAAAGCAATAAAAGAGATTCAGATTAACCAGAATCTCCCCTTCCTTCACTCAACATGGATTCTTTAACACTGAAAGAATGCTTTCCAAAATTAGTTTTTTACTGTATTAGTTGATTCTATTTAACCATGAAGAAAACATGTCAATTGACTCCATTTTAAAAAATGAGTATATTACAGTGCGTGTACACATACATATTTACCCCACTCCCTGGGCAGGATACTGAACTCAGGGCTTTGCATATACTGACCATGTTATTCTACCACTGAGCCCTACCTCCAGCCAATAATATATTCTGACTTGATTACCTATGGCACTCTTCTGCTTGCTGTTCTAATATTTCAAAAGTCTTTGGATAAAAAAGAACAAAAAACACTAAAGTCACATTTTTATATATTTTCACCGTTATCAACTGCTTGCAATTAATTTTAGCTCACTGAAATACATTTTGTCATGAATGAGAAATCTAACTCAATTCAAATATTCTCAATATACACAAACACCTGGGCAAAAATATTGCATCAATTACTTATATGCACATGTATCAAAATCTCTGTGAAGTATAGCACAAAAAAGTAGCTCAGTTTTTCATAAACTATGAGTTGGTTGCACTTTTACTTCTGTGGTTCATTGCAAAATTTTAAAAGTAATGTTTAATTGTTCACATTATTCACCCCATTAAGAGTTCTCTCAAGAGAATATAATGCAAAACATTTGGCTGTCTAAATGACAGTGTTGAAACTTGCAGTGTTTTAAAAAAAATCTCTGTTAATTTATCAGTATGTTTTAACATTCCCTGTTGAAAGATATCAATTGCACAGGAAGTCCAAATGCTGGAAAGAATCTAGAAAAGTGACAAGAGAATGATGACTTTTAAAATGCTGACGCTTTTTCACACCCAGGTTCAGTCACGCCAGCTGGAGAGAGGTGTTAGGTATGGCTTTATTCCTTTAAATCTGAGAAATGTAGTCATTTCCATGACATTTCAAAAACTGGAACAAGAGAAATTTATCCTCATGATCCTGATTCTTCTGATTCAAAATCACATTTAGGAAAAAATTTCATGCAAACTTAAAAAAAAAAGATATTTGGATAGATTACTTGTGTGCTATTGCTTAGTCAAATTATTCTGTCCCCGATTTCTTAGTGAACTAGTGACTGAGCCATTTCAGACATGACATCCATTATTAAGGGGGCCTTTGCTCCTAACTGTATAAGGGTCCTTGTCAGTGGTCTGACTTGCACAAGTACACACAGCCCCTGATAGGCGTTTAAGTCCTCTTTGGAAGACACTGTTGGAGAGACTATAAATGACACAATTGCAGAAACTGTTACTAATAGCAAGCCAGGTGGTCAAGAAGGATACGAAGCGGTTGCTGTGGCCAGTGGAACTCTCCAACAAGAAGTAGATAATATAGGGCAACCAGAGGACATAAAATACACTAGTGATGCGGAACAGGACCATGGCATAACGCTTATCAGGACAGGCCTGTTCTTCCCCAGTCTCCCCACTCTGGCTGCTGAAGCGGGCTTGCCTTTCGCTGATTTCCTTTGTATGCTGTTGGCAGATGCGGAAGATGTTGAAATATGTGAAGCAGACAATGAGGGCTGCTGGGGCATATAACATTATCACGATGAACAAGGTGAAGTATGGGTCTGTGTGCCAGGACTCCGCACACCACTGAAAGACATCTCCATGATATCCAGGTTTGCCCCAGTGGAAAAAGGAAGGCAGGAAGATGAGGGTGGAGTATAGCCAAATCAGGAAAATACACAGGCGTAGTCTCCAGGGTGTAACCAGGGTATTATACGTTAAAGGCTTAGTGATGGCAATGTATCTATCAATGCTGATACAGGCCAGAGAAGCCATAGAGACACTCTTCAGAACTGATACTGCAAAGCCAAATATCTGGCAAGTCAAGGACTCCTCTAATGGTAGGGAATAGTGAAGGAGTGATAAAGAAGGGACCAAGCAGCTTACCCCCACCAGGAGGTCAGCATATGCCATTGTCTGGATAAAATAACTTGTAGTGTGATGGTTCAACAAAGGTGCACAGTGAAATACAAAAATCACAATGATGTTGCCAGAAATAATCAATACTGTTAGAAAAACAATAATCAGCACTTCCAAAAGGCAAAAACTGACAGTTTCCAAGTAGTCAAATGCCAAGAGACAAAAAGGGTGGCTGCTCTGATTACCATCCAAGGTGGAGTTCATCTTGAGCTCAGGAGTGATCTCTCACTTCATGCTGCCGCTTGGCTGCTGCCAACAGTTCAAAGGAGCAGCTGCTGTCATTGCGGTCAGCTGTGCATGTGTATAATAATGCCAGAAGAGCCTCAGTCCCCAAGCTCCCGATGCTGCTGCTCTGATGCATTGCCTGCAGTGCAATTTCCCTTTAAATCCTTCTTGGAATAGGGAGAGCCAAGAACCGTCGTCTGGCCAGTCCCAGACGAGGCCATAGTGCCAAGTTCACCATACATATAGCACCAAGGGAGAAAGGTAAATTTTGGGGACAATGTCTTCAGGCCAAGTTAGGGTAGAGAAAAGGACTAGAAGAAGGGAGGAAGATTAGGAGCTTCAGCAGGAGTTGTAATGAGTCTCCTCTGAACAGCTGATAGAAGAAAAGGAGAAAGCAATTTACATTTGCATCCAGTGCCCTAAATCRAAGAACCTAGCTAGCCTGGGCTGCTGTCACCCTTCCCACTCCACCCCTTCTGATATCACTATCATGGCTACAATCGATAACACCCCACAGTTAACACTCTAAAGAGAAGCAACACCACACCAAGCTTTCAAGATCAACATAAAACAAAAGCAATCACAGATCGATCTACCCCCATTTTCTTTCATTTGAGTTGTTTATAGAATCTGCTTATGGTAATTCTGAAAACATTTCATTACAATCACTAGTAAAATTAGCCAAGATTAACTTATTTTTTCCATGAAACCCAATGTAATATTTTACATCTGAAAACAATTTAATAGAATATAACTGTTTAACTCAATTTCAGTGTTACCTGTAAGTCTGCACGCTGCAATCCAAACAAAAGCCACAATACATCCTTAAGAGAAAGCCTTGCAATGCAGGAGTGTGCTTCCCTCCTGTGTACTGCAGAACTGAGACACAGAGGGAGGGGATAAAGGAGAAGGAGGGGAAACAGGGAGAAGAGGGGGCTTGGAAAAAGGAAGAAAGGGGGAGGGGAAAGAAAATGCATGCACATGCTCTGGCATCTTTAGCAACTCATTAGAATGCATTGCCAGAGAGGTGCTCCTGGATTTCCAGACTGCACCTTGGGGGAATGGCTTAGTACACCCGCAGTGCAGCATTTAAAAGCTGTTTCCTCGTCTGTCTGGAATCCCTCTCTTAAGCAGAAAAGCAAGGAAAATGGGTAGTAGCCAGGGCAGTGAGTCAGGAATTAGATATGAATACATTTCCACAAAGGCAACAATGGGAAATTCCTATTTTCTTTTAGCATTTTTCCAAGGAACAAAGAATATTAAAGAAGAAGTGTGTTAACTGTACATGGTAAGTGAGAAATCATAATTCAGCTGCATGAGAAGTTCTAGCTGAACAGTTAAACATTCAGCATTTTCTCTCTCATGATTCACTGGATATTCACCAGTTTTAAGAAACTTTAAAATCAGTTTTTCAAGATAAAAATAAAGAAAATGTTCCCCAATCTGATATTACAAAAAGCACACACACACACACAGAGAAGAAAATTTACACTGTTCCCATATTCAATACTATCCTTTAGTTCTGAGATACCATTTCTTGCTTCTAGTTTACTGAGAAGCAGTACACAAATATACAAAAAATGAATAAGTAAATGTTCTATTTCCACCTAGGCTTGAAAATTACAGGAAGTTTCATGGTGCAAATCAGTGTTTGTATCATGATACACAAAAAATCTTGTTTCTGCCTATTTAAAACAATATAAACTGGAGTTATACTGTGGTTCTTCTGGTAATGTCATAAATGACAATTTTCAGTTAAGTTGGATGCTATGGAAATGGTGTAATTTTAATATCTTTTCCTCCAGATATCTTTGAACCTTTTTTAAAACTGTTTTTTAGTTGTTGATGGACCTTTATTTTATCTACCTACCTACCTACGTATCTACCTGCAGTGCTGAGAATTAAACCTAGTGCCTCACACACATTAGGTGAGCACTCTACCAACCCTCGGCTACAACAACAGCCCTCTTTTAACTTTTAATTCATCTTTCTAAACAAAGTTCCCCATACCCAGTAGAGTAAAAGAAAATAATGCTGACATTTGTAAGTATTCTAGGAGGTATGCACACCTGGGTAGAGACATAGGTGATCCAACTTTAATTTTATTCATTTTATACATGTGGCTTTCTGATTCCAGGAAAAAGTTCACTCCATCAGAATTCAATGAATAACATTTCAAATCTAAAATACTGTGCTTACTACATGAAAGCAGTTAAGTAGAAAAAACTATTTGAGCATAAGCCTGACAGCAACATCCAACAGGTCTTACTGGAAAACATGGCAAAGTATGGCACAGTAAAAAGATCAATAATTGAAGGAACATCTCTGTTCTGATTTTACTCAGCCTCTCTCAGCCTCTGTTTCAACATCTGTAAGATCAGGACAATACTCCCCCCACTTCACGAGGTTTTTGGGAAATAAAAAGTGCACTCAAACTCAAAGGACTTACAAACACCTATGACATACAAGGTATTTAACTGTTCACCTTCTGCCCTTGCAACTGAAATAGTAGTCCCAAGAGCCAGTGCACTACTTGAGGCTGGGCTCCTCTGTATCCTGAAGCGTCCTCTCTTACTATTACTGCAAAGTTCTAAGGCACACAACAGCTCTCTGGATACAATACTGTCATGCATTATTCAAATACATTAAGGCTATGCATATGCAAAACAGTGAAAATGGGGTTGGGGTTGTGGCTCAGTAGTAGAGCACTTGCCTCACATACCTGAAGAACTGGGCTCGATTCTCAGCACCGCATAAAAATAAATAAAGTCCACTGACAACTAAAAATATCTTAAAAAAAAAAAACCAACAACAACAGTTAAGATACCCAGAGAGAAGAAAGAATAATATGGTATCAATTATTCCCTCTACACAAATAATTGCTATGCTGTGGTCTTCAGCCCCAATCTCACGCTAAGCTCCCTCTTTCATTTACAGTTTTGCCTGTTGAGGCTTACATCTTCCTTTCAACTACATGCCCTTGCAGATTTTTATCTGCAATATGTCCAAAATCAAATACATTTTTTTTTTCCCACAAATAATCCTCTCTTTGCACTCTGGCGTAACATTAAGGAATTGTCTTGACAATTCTCTCCCTCAATGCAATGTTCTTAGTTACCAAGTCCTGGAATTTTTTACAGTTGTTCTCTAATTTATTTCTTCCTTTTAGTTTTTAATTTAAGCCACTATTAATAACTTTCCAGCTTTGTTCATTTGCCTAATCTCTTCATTTCTTCCTGATAAAATACTCAAAAGCATACATTCTATTATGGTACTCCACTGTTTAAAAAAAAAAAAAAAAAAAAGTCAATGGTTCCCTTACTGCTTTTCCAATCTGATACTATCATTCCACTTCCCCCAATCAGTCCAGGTTACTCACTATTCTATATGCTCATCATAAATTTTATTCTAAACCCTTTTTTATTGAGGGATTAACAAATATTGAATTAATAAAGGAATGATTTCTGAATTACTTATTTTCAATAAGTGGAACAAGTATTTGATAAAGTAAGGAATCCAGAATTTTCTACTACTTGTGAATTTGGTCATGCAGCTTATTCCCTCTACATCTCAGGGTCCTTTGTATAAAACTAAAGAGTTCAGTTCTTTCAACATTTTTCTAACAAACCACTCTCGGAACTACAATCAAAATATTCATATAGAAAACTTAAAAAATGAAAAGGGCTAATAGCTATAGGTAGGCAAATCAGTCAATAATTAAATGTTTTGTTTTGAACTGAAGAAAAATATTTTGTTCCAAAAAGATAAAATATTAGTGGCTTGGGAAAGGTAGTAAATCCATATTCTTACAAAAATCCACACGAACATTTTCTCTTTAAAATAACACTGACCCATGAGGCTTTCGGAAATTGGCAAGTTTTTTCTGCCTTTTGAGTACATGACATTCCTCAGACTTTAACATCATGCCTGCCATGTAGCACTCTATGCTACCCCAACTATCTACCTCCTAATAACATTTCTAAACAAGAGACATTTTAGGGCTGGGGATGTGGCTCAAGCGGTGGCGCGCTCGCCTGGCGCGCGTGTGGCCCGGTTCGATCCTCGGCACCGTGTACAGACAGAGATGTTGTGTCCACCGGGGACTTAAAGGATAAATGTTAAGAGATTCTCTCTCTCCCCCTCCCTCTCACTCTCTCTTTAAAAAAAATAAAATAATTAAAAAAAGAGACCTTATAGATGCACATGATATAACAATACAATTTGGTCCATATCATTCACTAGTACTTTCCCCTTCCCTCTCCTCCCTATATTTCCCCTCTGATTCTCATTGGAAACACCCCCCCAACTCACATCTTTCTTTTCGTTTTTTCTCTTTAGCCTCCATATATGAGAGAAAACACATGACCTTTTATTTGAGTTTGGCTTATTTTATTTAACATAATGTTCTCAAGTTAATTTGCAGGAAACTGAACGCATTCGATTATTATTATTTTTATTTTTTGGCATTGGGGATTGGACTCAGGAACACTCAACCAACTGAGCCACATTCCCAGGCCTCTTTTGTATTTTATTTAGAGACAGGGTAGCACTGAGTTGCTTAGCACCTCATTCTGGCTGAGGCTGGCTTTGATATTCTTGCCTCAGCCACCTAAGCTGTGCCACCACATTCAATTATTTTTGACTGAATAAGCAACAGGTGCCTAATACAAAAACAGTTCTGCTTTTAGGTTGGAGTATCTTTCAAGTAATGATCTGGTATGATAATTCTAACTGCTGGTAGGGCATCCCTAATGTGAAGGTTGAAAATCTAAATGCTATGAAATTTCAAATTTTTGAGTACTGATACAATGCTCAGAACGTTTTATATTTTAGAGCATTTTGGATTTCAGAGTTTCAGATTAGGGATGTTCAACTGGCAAAGACTACGCAAATATGCCAAAACTCGAAAACCTCCAAAATAGGAAACACTTCTGGTCCCAAGCATTTTAGACAAGGAATACTCAATTAGGTTAAGGTATATGACATTTTTGCATGGTAAAAGTCAGCAATTTTAATATGATCAAGCTCAATACACTTAAAAAAAAAATTTCTTCTAAGTTGCAGATGAACACAATTGCCGGGTTTCTGCTCTCGCGACTAAAGGGCTCAGGGGTCACTCCAGTTAAACTGGGCTAACTGGGCTGCACGAAATAACCACACAAGAGACACAAATACCTTTTTCTTTGGGGTCGCTGTGACGGCTCCTCTGACCTTAAGGGTCTGCAGAAAGAGAGAGAGCCAGAGCACGTGCTGACCCCTTTTATTGAGGAGAAGTTACTCAAATGAGGCCAGGGGTCAGGTTTCAGGGGGCTGAGTATCTTCATGATGTAAACTGTCAGCAGATGACTGACACCTGGGTAGGCCATACCCAAGGACACAGTAAGAGAAGGGGACACACACAAGGCACTTCCATGGAAGATTCTATCCTAAACAGGGCAAGGGGTTATATTACAAAGAAACAGGTAAGCATAGCTTCACCCATGGGGCTATAGCAAGACATACCCATGCACGAGACACCGACCACATTTCTGTGACTGAGCGCCTCAGCACCCAGCCAGGGAGTGTGACCCAGTCACGTGTAAGGTTGGTCTCCTACACACAATATCTTTATTTTTATGTGGTGCTAAGGACCAAACCCGGGGCCTCATACATGCAAGGTAAGTGCTCTATCACTGAGCTACAACTCTAGCCCCGATATTTTTTTTTTAAGATACATTTTTAGTTGTAGATGGATACAATACTTTTATTTATTTTTATGTGGTGCTGAGGATCAAACCCAGTGCCCTCACATGTTCTAGGCAAACGTTCTACCACTGAGCTACAAGCCCAGCTCTACATTTACATTCCAGTAAGTTCAAAACCTTTTATGTCAGGTGTGGT